GGGAGGGACCACGCGGCCGCCCCGCCCCCGTGCGCCGGCCCGACCCTCCCCGGGGCGTCTGGTCGGAACGGGCCCTGGTCGCCTGCCCAGTGGACCTGGAGCCCAGTCCCCGGCCCCACCCGAATGGTGACCCTGCAGAGGGCCCTGGGGTGCCTCTCCCCTCCTCCCCACTTGTCAGCCGAAGTTTCTCCTCCAGCGCCCCTGGGTAGGCTGCGCAGCACTGGGCCCCTCCGGCCACTGCCTTTAGTGGAGAGGGCACAGGGTCGCTGGGGAGCTGCCAGGGATGTCACTCCAGAGCCATGGCCACATGGCCTGAGGACAGCTGAGCAAAAGCCAAAGAATACACCACAGTGGGTCAGGTCCAGCCTCAGCCTGGGCTTCCCTCAAGGGTCAGCCCAGACACCGGGCTGGGCAGCTGGGAAGCCAGGCGGCCAGTGTCCTGTCTGTGCTCTGGTGGCCCCACGATGCTGAGGGCCTGGGGAGGCGTCCTTGTGTCAACCCCTCATCCACAGCCCGGGAACAGCACCCGGCACCACTGCAGTGGCCCACCCTGCCTGCACGGGAGCCCAGCCCTCCACCAGGTGACCTGAGCTCTTCCATGCTGTGTAAACCAGGAGGGGTCACTGCGAAGTAAGGCTACTTGGGGGGCACAGTTGACGGTGGGAGCAGGTGCTGTAGGATGTAGGGCCCCACTGTGCCAGCAGCCCGAGTGGGCACAGAACCTCCTGGGTGCTGGGTGTCTGAAAGCTAAGCTGGACCCACAGGGCCCTGGACTGCAGCCGTGGAGCCCTTCCTAACTGGCTGTCTGGGAAGGCACATCAGGAACCCAGCTTCGCCTCCTCCCAAGGGACCTGCTCAGGGGCAGCAGGGACCAGGGACAGGCCAGGTGTGGAACTCAGGACAAGCAGAGGACAGCAGCATCTGTTTATTGGACAACTGCAGGTTCTCTCCCAATAGGTGCTTGTACATTCCAGCCAGGTAGCCAGGTAGGGGAGAGGGAGGAACACACAACGAACAGACAGACACTGAGGGAAAATAAACTGTAAACCATTTTTTTTTTGATTTGCTTAAAGAAAAAAAACTTTAATAACGCTCGTAATGAAGGGTGGGGCACCACACTCCACAGCTGTGGGCCGCACTGTGTCTAACCTCAACTCGTATGTACAGTGCAGGGCGCTGCCCACGGGCAGCAGCCCCGAGTCAAAACAAGGGTGGGGAAGGAACAACAGGAAGCGCAAGGTGGCGGCTCAGGGTGCCGGCGGCCGGCTCAGTAGAAGCAGACGGTGTGCAGGAAGGTCCGGCCGCTCTTCTCCTCGAACTCCTGCAGCAGCTCGTCGATCTCGTTTTCCATGTCCTCTGTGTGCTGGATCTGCGGGCAGAGCAGCAGCATGAGCAGAAGTAGAACAAGGGCTGGAGGAGCCTACCCCCAGCAGAAGCCGGGGACCTGTACTTCCCACTCATCACAGCCAGGGGGTCCCAGGACAGAGGGTCCCCAGGCGGCCCCAGGCCCTCCCTTGGAGGAGCCCAAAGGGAAGAGGGCTGGGCTTTGAAACCAGGGCCTGCTCTCAAATGTCACAAGGACTTCAACTACGGGACCCTCACTCCGCAAAAGAGCACACTGGGCACAGAAGGTACAGTCCTTCCCCAAAGTCACCCAGGGAGGAGAGCCAGCCCATGCTGAGGTGGGGAGGGGGGACCATCCTGTGCAGGGTGTTTAGCAGCATCTGTGGCCTCCACCCACTAGCTGCCGCCAATGTCCCTCCCAGTTGTGAGACCCACAAGTGTGCAAACATGGCCAGGTATCCCTGGTAGACAACTGCTGCCCTAAAAGGAGTAGATACTGCCAGGGGACAGCCCCGGGGTGGCCCAAGCTGGACTGCAGCCAAGGCCACTGCTGTCCCGTCATGGTCTAAAACAGGGCTCCAAAGAAGAATGGCCCCCCTGCCCCTCTTAACTCAGCTCTAGTCAGCATGACCAAAGTCATGTGTGCAACTTCTGGGACACGTCTTCCCCCTGCAGCCCGATCTCTTTCATGATTGCTGGATCATGGGCACAACTGCTGGAGTTTCAGCAGCCACACTGAACCATGAGGCACATGGGGAACAGAAGCTGTGCTGGGTCCCTCAGAGCAAACCAGCAGGGCCTATCTCTAGGCTTCTTGGTTAAACCATTTGTTTCTTTGTGTTTCTGTCACTCACAGCCAGCTGACCTAAATGCAGGTGCCATGGGGAGAAGACAAGGCACACGCGTTCCTCCCTGCTAGGTGCTTTTGTCACACTTTGCTCTGAGCACAGCTGCACAGTGGTTGCAAAATCCCCAGGGTTTTTCACACCAGGGAGGGTGCCCAGGGCTGCATGGGCCAGCGCAGAGCCTCCCCAGAGCCCGGAGACACCCACACATCTGCCTTCATGGTGGTGAAGCCCCAGCAGTCACGGCCTCCTATCAACTTAACGCACAAAGTGCACTAACCAGAGCCAGCTAGTGGTCTCACTCCTGCGGTTGCCTCTACATCACTTCTGCACGAAGCCCTCATGCGCAGAAGGACCTGGCCCTGCACCCTGAGCCCTCGCCAGTCGCAGATCTCAGGTGTCTGGTGCAGCCCGGAGCAGGGACAGGCAGGCATGGATACTTACGCACTGGCAGAGCTCACAGATGAGGAATGCCCCCAGGGTGGCCTCCTCATGGTTGTCCTGGATGTCCACGTTGATCACGTGCACCGGCTGGCAGGTCTCCTGCTCTCTGGAGTTCAGATCTAACGGAGACAAAACGACACCATGTCAGAGGCCCTGCTGCACCTGCCCTCCCCGGCATCAAACCTCCTCCCCAAACACGATTGTGATTCAATAAACACCAGGCCCCCACCTCACCCCTCAAACGTGCAACCTGTCCTGGGGTAAAGCATCCAGCAGCAGCATGGTCACCCTCAGAGCCCAGGTCCCAGCTCTCTGCTCACACATGCTCTGCACACACCAAAGACCCTCCAACCCACAGGATGCTACTGGCAGCACAGGCGGCCTCAACCTGAACATGATGGGCCAAAGCCCCTGTGTCAGGGCTCCCCCAATGCTTCCTGGCGCACTGGGCCGGGATAGAGGAGGGGTGTGAGTAGGGACAAGAGGGACAGAGAGCACCACAGGTCGTGGCACATGTGGGGGCACTGGGTCTGTGGGCTCACCTTCCACCACCTGGTCGTACACTCTCTCTTCGCAGGTGAGGATCAGGTCGAACAGGTCTTTGCAGTTCTGGAATCTTTCTGGCCGGGGCTTGATTCGCTTATTTCTGTCCAACATGTGCAAAATGCCATTCTGCGTGTAGCTGGGTGCAGGAGTTAAGGAACTTTGGAGGAGACGCGTCATTAACTCAGCTGAGCGCTGGATATGTGCACAGGCAGAGCAGCAGAGGCATCCCCTCCACCCCCTGCAAGAGCATTGAGGCCACGTAGGTGCTGCCCCAGTCCCCGAGGCCTCAGAGGATGAGGTGAGCGGGCAGACCAGCCCTGACCAGCATCGGGACAGGCCCACCTCGGCCATTCAGGTCACAGCTTCCTGACCAGCACGTTCCAGAAAGTGGAGACCTGCTGTCTGTCACCTCCAGCCCCGTTTCTTCACCCTGCCAGCTGCCTCTGTGGCTTGTCCTGCAGCATCTTTGCTCACACTGACCCCAACCTTCAGCAAGGACAGTGCTCACCTGAAAACCCACCTAACCAGGCTCAGCAATAGCAACAAAGCTCCAGAAACCCAGCACAAAAAGGGGTGCAGGAGTGAGATGCCACAACCACTGACAGTGAAAAGGGCCCAGGCCCGAAGCCTGAAAAGGCTGTGTCCCTTGGAGCTCAGAAGGGACACCTAGGTGCCACAGTGATGTCTGTACCAAGTAGGTGACCCCTGAACTGGATGTGCCTCCTCAGGGATTGTCCAGACAAAGCCCAAGGGCAAGGGTTCACCCCCTGGCCAGAGACAGCATCCAGGAAGAGAGTATGGTCTCTAAGGGTCGATCGCATCTCGTTAATTCTATCTTAGACAGAGTGGCTGATACAGGAATACTGAGTGATACGTCACCCAGACTTTTCCAGACTTTTCAGTTGTGACGATTTATTTAAATCAGCTCATATTACTCACAATACATTTCCTACCTTCCTGGAGACCAAGAACAGCTTTTATAATAAACTTCAGTTGTTTAATGGTTTTAACTGTAAGACACTAGGTTGTCAGCTGTGGTGTTTTGGGTTCTTAATACTTTCTAGCCAAGTTAGTAAAGCCAGTGCCCAGTCCTGGCCAGCATCCCCAGGAGCTCTGTTGCCACATGGGCCTGGCACCAAAGATCAAAGCCCAGTGCCTGCCTGGCCAGCATGGCTCAGCAGTTGAGCATCGACCTAGGATCCAGATTGTGGTTCAATTCCTGGTCAGGGCACATGCCCGGGTTGTGGGCTCCATCCCCAGTGGGGGCCGTGCAGGAGGCAGCCAATCAATGATTCACATCATTTATGTTTCTCTTTCTCTCTCCTTCCTCTATCTGAAATCGATAAAGACATATTAAAAAAAAAAAAAAGCCCAGTGCCCTAGCCTGTTGCTCAGTGGTTAGAGCACTGGCCCATGGAGTTGAAGGGCCCTGGGTTTGATTCCAAGGGCATGTATCTCAGTTGCAGGCTTGATCCCTGGCCCAGTGGTCAGGCACGTGCAGAAGGCAACCAATCGATGTCTCTCTCATATCGTTTCTCTCTTTCTCTCTCTCTCCCCCTTCCACTCCCTGAAAAACAATAAAAATATCCTCAGGTGAAGATTAAAAAAAACAAAAGCCCAGTGGAGAGAACTGGGCTGGGGGAAGGTGCACCAGTCTGCAGGGTTGGTAGGCTGAGGCTCAGCCTGTGGTCAGCCCCATACACAACTCCAAGACCTGCCACCTCAACAAGCTCGGCTCTCGAGGACAGATGACCACCAGGCGCTCAGGTCAGTCCTGCGAAGAACTCATAAAACTCCCTCCTTCACTTCACCCTCAATTATGTACGTAGATGACATCACAAATGAAGGCGAGTTCATGAAATTAAGCAGAAAGGCCCAGTTGGGGGATCAGACACTGACCCTCATACATGTAATGGGCCTTTCTGAACTATTTTCTGGCAAATTCCAGGGATGTATGGCCTGGGCTGAGCTGAGCAGAACCAATGGCAGGGGGTGCCCATGCCAGGAGCCCTTGAGGATGAAATCACGACTCACTCACTGGAATCCTCACTTCAAACCACGAGGGACAGGAGGGGGGGATCACCAGGGCAGTGAGGCCAAAATGAGACGAACCTGCCACCAGGACAAAGCCCTTATTAGAGCAAAGCTGGGCCACAGTGGGGGCTGTGAGCGGATGCGCACTGCTGGGAGGCGGGGGGACCTGAGGCCTTTTGTCAGAGTGAAGTGTTTCCTGGCTGAACAAGGCCTCGAAGTGCTAAAGCAGCAGCAGGGCCACGCCCCTCTCAGCCTGAACCGGAGGACACGCCCCTGGGAAGCAGCAGACACTGAGCCGCAAGAGGACAGGGCTGACCACCCAGGGCGCGGGCAGGCGAGGGCTTATGTTTCCCACAAACAGGTGCTCCTGTGGCTGGTGGCGACCATGGGCCTGGACAGTGATGGGCCTGGCTGAGCCTCCCCTGCACTTGTGAAACATGAGCTGCTGGGGTTGTGGTCACCACCTGCCCGTCCCCTGCCGCCTTCTAATCACAAGCTCCTGGCTTAGCAGCTGGTCCCCAAAGGAGCACAGCCTGTGACACAGGCGGCTTTGAATCCTCACCTGAGGAAATTTTTTCCATGGCTTTTTAGAGTGGAAGGGAGAGAGGAGAGAGACAGTGACATGAGACACACGCACATGGGTTGGTTGCCTCCTGCACGCACTCTGACTAGGGTGGGGCCTGGGACGGAGGTACAGAGCCCGTGGCCAGAATCAAACCCGGGACCGTTCAGTCCAAGAGTCGATGCTCTAACCACTGAACAAAACCGGCCAGGGCATGGGAGGTTCTTAATATGCTTCAGCCTCCCAGCAACCCCATGATGCTACTGAAGGCCACAGAGACAGATGAAGCCAACTAGGCTAGGCCACTGGCTCCAGTGGACTTCCCCAGTCCCTCCCAGTCACCTGCTTAGGGCACCCAGGGAGCAGAAGCTGTTCCTATGATGTGGGGTCATCACATTTGCACCCAAGGCCCTGAGGGGCCACTCTGCCTGCCTCTCCATGGACCATCCCTGGGAGCACACCGGGGCCAGCTGTGCAGGGACTTGGTCTGGCTAGCCAGGTGTGGGGCACCGCTGGCTCCCATGGGAGCAGGAGGGCATGGGAGAGTGGGTGGCAGGATTTGGGGGCTGATGTGGAGCAAAATCTGGGTCAGAGACCCCTGGGGGCACTCAGCTCAAAACAGACGTCCCATGGAGGAGGTGGGCCAAGGTTGGAGGAGATGGATGAGCGTTTCCAGAGCAAGGGAATGGTGCTGTCAAGAATCAGGAGGAGGACCAGATGCCCACTTGTGAAGGCTATGGGTTTAGCAGCAGGGCTTCCACACCCCACGTCTTCACTGAACCCCACGATGATAGACAGGGGGCCTTCCACCTGCCTCCCTGCCCCCGCCTGCCAAGTCCCAGTCCTGGGTGGACAGAGTACTTCCCAAGGGTGGAAGAGGGGAGCACAGCAGGTGAGCAAGACAAACTGGGTAGGAAGAAACTGACAGCTCAGGACAGAAGCAGGGCCTCCAGTGAAACAACTCCAGAGGGGTGGGGTGGGGAGGCGAGGGGCAGGGACAGCCTCACCCCAAGCCAGGTGGCACCCGGTCACAAAGGGGCTTCAGGGCCAGCAGCCTGGCAGCACCAAAGACAGGGCAGGAACCCAGCCCCCACTGAAGGCCCCACATGTTCTCTCCTAACCATGGGGGGACGGTCAGAACCTTCACCCGTGTCCCCGCCCAGGCTCGGGAACATCAGGCTCCCCTCATGCACCTTCGGTGTCACCTGTTCAGGTCCTGGCTGGACTGACAGTCGTGTTTGGTGCTCCGTGGACAGGACGCTTCTCAGAGCTGCTTTGCAGACGCTCACTCAACGAACCCAAGGACGTCCTGGTCGGTACCGACAGCTTCTGTCCCCAGATGCTGCCACACCTAATTCAGGTGTCCCCACTTTGTGCCTCAGCCTTGGAGGGGACCCCAAATTCTCTATGGTCAATGCTCCTGGAGGGAGGGCCATGCCAGGGAGCTGGCTCAGCACTGGGACCCTCTCACCCAACTTGACTTCCAATCTTAAACTTGATCAAACGTCAGACACAGGCTGGAATTCTCAAGTTGGGCCAAGTCCCCTATGGCGGAAGATTCTCAAAGGCACTGTGGCTAGAAATGCCCACAGGGAGCACCCTCCGTGGGCTCTGCCAGGGCCTGGGACCACCGCAGGTAGTCACAGGAGGCCCAGCCGCCCTGGGTTGGGCAACATGAAGGATGAAGTGGTGCCCAGCTTAGGCAGGCACTCCCCAAACAGACCCAGGGCCAGCCCAGGGCAACGTCCCAATCCCAGACACCACGAGGGGCAGCCCCAGTCCAGGAGGTCAGACTCCTGGTCAGCGGTCTCCTCTCTGGTGCCTTCAAGAGTCCCCTCAAACCCCTGCCCACCTGTTGTGCCTGTCCAGGGAGCTCCATCTCTGCAGCTGGAGCTGCTTAGGCATCCAGTGGATGGGCAGTTCCTCAACAGGGAAGCTCCCCCCCCGCCCATTTAGGGAACAGTCCATTTGGGTCCAATTTTAGGATTATTATGTAGCAGCATTTCTGCCTTTATTTCTGATGGGCACCAACATGATGGGGCCTGTGACAGGGTGACATCTGGGACTCGAGGGCCAGGGAGGCTGGCACCCCAGGTTGCTCCCCCTGGTGTCATCCTCAAGTTGCCCGTCAATCCCTGGGAAAGCTCTCCCTGCCCTGGGAGGAGGCCGCAACCCTGAGTGCCCACTGCAGCACACCCAGGTTCCCACCACCCAGTCCTCCAACACCAGTCATGAGCCATAGGCACGGCCCCCTCAGAGCTCAGATTCAGGAAAACAGGCCAAAGGAAATAACCTGAGTCACCCCAAAGCACACCCAGTGAGGACCAGGGGCATCCACTTGGCCCATTGTGAGGAAAGGCCACCATCCCCTTGCTCCTAATTCTCCCTTGGCCAGTGAAGAAACCACTTGGGGACCCTGCCCATCCCATTCCCGTCACAAATACAGGTGACACCCCAAAGGGGCCCATCTCACCCCACATTTTCCTGGCAAAGCACAGAATCAGCATGGATACATTTCCCATGACTGCAGGCCTGCGGGC